ATGTCAATATAAATTTATTTGAATACGATAAGAAGAATATTAATTTTATTTCACATTACAATTATATTTCAAATTCAAATATTTTTCTTATACAAATATAAAAAAGTAATCTACCATTGATATACAAAATTTAAACTAAGAAAATAAAAATATTAAGTAATAGATCAAAAAATCAATAACGATCAATTAAAAATTTTAATTTCAATAGTTTCGATCTTGCCAAATTTTGTTAGATTGTTAGATTTGTCGAATCTCATTGAAAATTAAAAATCGTAGAGCATCAATTCAATTTCCTTTTCGATTTCCAAAATTCAAAAATCAAGTTTCGAGCTCCATTTTCAGAATTTTCCCCCGTTTTCACTTTGCGATTGTACGTGGGTATCAGCCGATGGAATCTCAATGTTGATCGATTGTCTCGTGAAGTGGAGTGGAAGCGTGATATCGACGATAAACGGCGTATAAGGTGAACGAGGAGTGCTAGCATCTGTTTTGTTACCAATGGGGTGGTTTAACCTCTCCTCAAGACTGTTGATTACCGACCTACATACATCCCACACATTTCCACATTCGTCGAACGATTCAATCCTGATTATCTTACTCGATGATCATAATCGATCGATCCCTGTTTGATTAACGTCTCGATGTAGCTTTTCTATCCTTTAGTCAACGTAAACATTGCTCTTGCTTGTGGATTAATAAAAAAAAAATTGGAGACAAAATTGTTGTATTATAAAGCATATAATGGCAAAATTATGCAAGAATGATTAAATAATAAAACTCGAAAACTTGACAGAGAAAAAATTAAAAATTTTACTTTCTATTAGATTGTAATTTTCGATAAAGTCTACTTTTACTTTTAATTCAGAAAAGTATTAAAAATTATGATTTTTCTACGCCCAATTGGAGAACGTATGGAATAGTTTAATTATTGGTTTATTATTTTATCAAGAACGAGGATGAATTTCGCGTGGCGCGGCGAATACGCGTTATAGGATGAATTAACAAAACATTTGTCAGCGTAATGAAATAGTTAAATGAGATAGACGAATTAGTGGATGCTGGGAAATGAGAAACGCGAACACCGGCTAAATTGCCGAGGTGGTATTTCCTCCTTAAGACCGTTGATTGTTGGCCCACTTCTGCGTTCACGAACGCTACGTACAAATACCAGGCCGTCTTCCATCTATTCTACAAGTTTCTCGAGTCTTTTAAATGAATTTACCTTTGACAATCTTCCTCCTTTTCGGATATATAGATAGGAGAATGGAGAAGTATGTAAACTGGTGAAGTCTTGTTGATTATGGAACGGTTTAAGATCGCTGGAAATGGTCTTTCACCGGTTTTTAATTCTCGAAATTATTAGTGAATTATAACCGTCCTTGATCTCAATTTAATACAATCTCGTAAAGGGAGAAGGTTACAATTTAATTCGACTTTATAAATAAATGGAAGATTGTACAATAAAAGTCAATAAAAAGTTGTACAAATTTGAGTAATTGATCTTCTACATTGGATTTTTCCAATATTTTTAATCGCTAAAATATAGAATATAAATAAAATTAAATATCCTCATCTGTAATTTAATTATTGTTGTTATAATACTAATTAAATTATTACAAGGAATTAATTTTTAAAGATCAATAAATGATGTCTAATAAATTTTCCATTTAGATTTTAAATACGAAATATTTATCAAGAAACTTTTGCATCGATATTAGAAGAATCTTAAGTTAATATTTCTTTTATTATTTAATCCTAATAAAAGGAGCATATTTTTGGACAGATTTTTAATTAAGATCGAAGAATAAGCGTATTAATCATTGTGAACGTTACATGTGTTTATGAACTGTCAATGTATTGTAAGATTATATGATATAAATATACTTGTTTCCAGCAGGAAGTAATAAACTGACAAGTATAACACAAATAGTAGACACAGTAGTACAGGCTGACGTACAACAAATCATTAGACACGTATTAATGAGAAATGCAATTATCGACTCTGCTATTATAATCAAATACAGTTGTACGTACAAACCAGATCCACTCTAGGCTATTTCCTATTGACCTATTTCTATTAATAGCGATGAACGCCCGTATTTTCGTATATACGCATATTTAAAAGTTGTTTAATGCGAATACTCGAGCAATAGTAATCGATAATTCACTAATTTTTCTTGATCCCTCTTAAAATAGCAAAATAATAAAAACAACGCAATAAGATATACTTTCACGAAATTGAATTTTGATTACAAGTGTTACAAACATTAAAGATGATTCTTGATCTCTGAAAAATTTTTTAATTTATTTAATCAAGTTTTAAGATAAATTATAAATGATAGATTGAATTCATTTCCAGAGAAATATTATATATTTAATCGATCTGATACAAATTTAAAGATTTCGTAGAAAAAAAATCTTCAAATAATTAATTTTGCATGAAATTAATTGTTACAGACGTTATCCTCTTATATTTTATTTGAAGAACCATCCTTTCAATTTTTGCAAATATTCCGCATCGCCAATTTATTTCAATAGAATTGGAAAAAGATATATTTCATTAATTAAACTCCTCGATTGCATAATAAAATTCTTTCGGACGAACGATCCATTATAGGTTAGCCATACCGAAGTTGAATAGATCACTTAGTTAATAGCAGTGTTTAGTCATGGTTCGCCAATCCGATCATGATCTGCTTGTAATTCGTGGCCGTAAACATTCGATTAATTCAGGTAAAATAGTCACGTTTCATTGCCGGATTTTACTAACGGTGATAGCATACCATTGTTTAAACATCGATCTGCTACTGTTTCCTGTGATTGCACGCTTTGACATAATCGAAATACAAAATGAATCATAAATCAAGGAAGCTATATTTAATTAACGTAGCAATGGGTTTATTTAAATTGAAACTAAAAATTGATTATTTATTTAAATCTATTTCTTTTTATCAATGTTTATGCAAATATATCTGAAAAATAATCTTATTTTTAGTTCCAACCTCAATTCATCTCAAAGATGGTATAAAAAAAAACATAAAGAAATATATAATATCGTATAAATATAAAGAATACAAAAAGATTAATTTATTTAGTTAACTTTTGTCATTAACTGTATTATATTGTATACTATATACAATATACACATAATGTACCTATAATATACACATTACATTACTGTACCACATACTATAATTTAATCATATTACTAATGAGATACACATATAATTTAATTATATTACTAATGACCCGAGCCATAGAATAGTAAATCCCCATGATGGCGTTACGGTCACCCGTTATTCAATCTATTAATTACTTAAAATTCCACTCCAAGACTTCAGATGTTTCTATTAGTCCTTGATCGTCGATAGTTGAAATTATAAACACAGAGGATATTATTAACGATAGATGATGCTATCGAAGGAAAAAACATTTTCGTGGAATTGGAAGACGAAATCAGTCGCGTATATCCGTTTGTGCGGGGAGCGGATTATGATGTTTACGAGACGCAAGGACGCGATAACTGCGAAGAAGAGGCAGAAAATGTATTTTCGATTGTGTGTCGACCGTAGTTGGTGGTGTTTTACGCGGTGAACGAGTCGTTTCGCGATTTATCTGAGGCTTTCTCTTCCGCGATGCGAAGGAACATGGAAGAAATTGCGTTGAAGATGCGTTCGTGGAAGGTGAGTGTTTAATGTGCAATTTTTTATTGTCTTCTTTTTCTATGATAGTGATGGGTTTTAGGATGAAAGTGTGAAAAATAATAATTTGGAGATGATTGAACAAGAATCTGATTTAATCTGATCTGAGAGTAGTGAAAAAGTTTTTTTATAAATATTTTGTGTTATATGATAAATTAGATAAGAGATTTTATTTTAAATTGTTAGTTTTTAACATTTTTTAAGTGACAGTTTGTTTGTTCTAATCTTAATTTTTAGAGAATAGATTGTTAATCATCTGACTTATAAAAATAATTGAAATTTAGTTTAGTTTAGTTTAATTCTATTAGAATTTAGATTATTCTTATTTTGAAAGTTACTCATTTTTTCATTAATTTATTATATTTCGTGCTATTACAATATTTTATTCATTTCAAAAACAAAAATTCGTCTTGAAAAGGTTAATACGTAAATTTTATATATTAGAATAATATGAAATATAATTATTCGTTCTTTATTAATTAGTTAATAATTAATATAAATAATATTAATAAAACAATATTAATAATAACATTAATTTTAGCTAAAACTTTATTATTATTATTAAATATTATCGAATATCGTTTTTATAATAGTTTGATGAAAGTGCAAATATGAAGAAGAGAATAAATGAAAAAAGTATAAAAAGATATAAAATTTTGTAAAAAGAAAACGTGATAAGAAACTTGTTATGAAATAAGAAGAATTAATAATTTATTATAATAGATATAAATATTATAGTATTATTGAAACATAAAGTTTCATTATAGTTGTCTATTTAAAAATATAGAAATATATATATACATTATTCTTAATATAATAATTTTACTTTAAAGAATCATTATGTTACATTCATAGAACATATTTTTTAATTATTTGAAATGAGGTGCGTAAAAGATATTCTTAACATAAAAATATTATTACGAATAATTCTTTTTCTTTTATCATTTTTCCAATTATTCTTTATCTTTTCCTTTAATTAATTATCATTTAACAATTTATTACTACGTGCTATAATTTAAAAGAACATTATATTAAACTAAAACTTAATTTTAAAAACAAACACGAACCATTTTCACACGTGCCTCGTTTCAAGAAACACTCCGTTATCACACAATATCTCTACTACAAATATCTTTCACTGTTCTCTCTCATAGTGGTCACAATCCTTGGTAAATTAGTAAAAATAAAATATCTCGATCCAGGTGGAAGGGACTATTGATAACTTTTCGTTCAATAGTTTATAAAAAGCATGGTTCAGTTTTTTACTTTCTTTCTTTCCTTCTTTCTGTTTACACATAGAAGCATGGAGCACGGTGCTGCCTACGGCGGGTGCTGGTGATTACTGGGCGTGGGATTACAGTGAGTCACGCTAATTACTAAGCTAGAAGGTCCACGATAACGTGGTCCTGGCCTAGGTAGAGGTATCAGTTAGTGTTGATCAGTAGATCGTAGCTCTGGGTTGATATGTATATAGTCCGATGTCGCATTATTCTTGTGCACCTGGACCATCGTCACCTACATTTCCCTATCAATCTCTTTCTCCTCTCCTATTTTTATCGAACATCGTATCTTTGTATCTTCGATAATTTTACAATTTTCGTGATACGATCGAATGAATTCGATTTCTTTGTTAGTGAAAACAGTGATGATAACCAATCGGTCGTGTCACGAACATGTTACATTGAATTTAATTTAGAATGTTTGTCAAAGATGTTGATTAATCTTTTTTTGATTAGCGATGATAGAATGATTAGATGCAAGTATATAATAATTTTATCCCTCAATTTTTAGATGTTTTGAAATTTTGACGGTAGATGTGTGATTAATTTAAAAGTAGGATTAATGATTATATATGAAAATATAATTGGTTTAATGTTAAGATTAAATTTGATAAATTTGTTTACGAATTTTTAAAAATTTAGTATTTAGATAAATAATATCGGAATTAATTTGAGTAAATAGTTTCATTCTTTCCAAAAAAAAAATATTATAAAGGTGTTGTAATAAGAAATATTTATATTTGAATATTTTGATAATATTTTATTATCTTATTTTATTATAGAGCATTTACATAACAAATATAATTCCAATTGCACTATTTTCTTCATTCTATTTTCTAAATTAAAAATCATCAATCCAAAAACTTAACTCTTTCGACTTTGATGAGACATACAATTTTTCATTATCGATTGATATAAATTTGATTTATATGCATCCCCAACTTAATACTCTTTATTCTAAAAAGAAAAAAAAAGTCAAAAGAGTTAAACCCATAATTTTGTAATACAAAATAAATACAAATTTCTTCTATTTTCTTATTTTTCTTACTTTCACGAATGTTTATATAAATTCTATTATATAATTCTATCTTTCAATAATTCGAAACTACAATTTCGAGGAAAATAGTACAAAATAGATAGAAATTGTGGTGATATATTATTCAAAAATAAAAAATAAAAAATACTATATAGAATTTTATATTATATTGCGGAAGGTTAACAAGATTTTCCCAATTTCTTGAAGGTATATATTACAACACGCTTTAATGTTGCAATTACAATGGCTACATCATGGACAAAGATTTAAGGGTGAAATTGGAGTCGATAAATAATGCGAGAAATTTAAAGTAAACACAGACGGAGAGATTAATCGGAACAATGAATCTCTTCCGTTCTTTCTAATCTTTGTTTCTTCTATGGAAAACGAGAATGGAGTAAGATAAATCGTATCTTGCTACTCTGATTAATCTTAAGCTACACCAGAGATTCTGTAGAAAGCAGATCCTATTCAATGTAGATTTTGATCTACCGTTTTTTTGAATTATAAGAAGCTATTAAGAAAAACAATTTTTTTTATCAAAAGATAAATTAAATTATTAGGCTTGAAAATAAATTAGAATTAGAATTCAATGATTTTTTTCTATTCCATTAAATTAAGAAATTTTTTATTTAAGATTTCTTTCTATTGAAATAAGAAGATATTGTTATTAATTTAATTGCAAAAGTTTAGCATTAGGGAGTTTTAAGTATTTATTTTATTATATTTTTTAAGATAATACAAGGAGTGTCTTCTATAATAAGATCTAAATTATAGTAAAAAAATTAGTTTTAAATTAGTTTTAATTGAGTTTTAAATATGTTCTTTTTTATATTATAATATAAAGTTTTAAATAAATAGATTGTAAATTATTGATGCATAATATGAATAATTTGAAATCATGAAGTATAGAAATATATTTAAATGATTAAAAATAATCAAAGCAGAGAATAATTATCTATAATTATCTACAATTCAATTGCTTTCTAGATTGCAAATCTCTCAGATGATTTGCAAAAATCCTTCGCGTGTCTCCGAAATATTCGTGCAGAATAGAGATATAGTGTTTGAAGAATTTGTAAAGTGAAATTTAAAAATGTTCATTTAACACAACTCGTTTTCATATCGTAGAATAAATGATGAATGAAACGTCCACTTTCTGAAATAGAACGAAAGATCTCCTTTGATATTTCTCTCCTTGAGTACAGTTTTAAACAGGTTTTATCGATTAGTTAATAAATAAAAAGTACCATTTACTCGTTTAAAATGAATCACGCACATGAGAAATTATATTCTATGTTCATATTTTTGCAAAAAAATATTTAAATTCGAAATAATTATTCATATTAAATACTTTTAATTATTCAAAAAATTATAGTTAAACAAATATTTTGAAATATTGATGAATAAGAAGAAAGAAGAAATATTATTTTTTGAAATTTATTGAGTTAAGTATTCATATGTCACTATCATTTAATTTCAGTTTATGATATTAACATTAAATATTTATTGGATCTTATTATCTATCTTAATTAAATTTTGAATCTTGTTAAAGAAAAATTTCTTTTGCAATAAATCTTCAAAGCAAAACATTACAAAATGATAAAATAAATAAATTATAAAATGATTTATATTGATAATAATAACAATAATAAATTTAATATCAATTAAATGATAAAAGATATGAATAAAAAAAATTCCAACAAATGATAACAGCATAACAAAATACTATATTTATAAAATAATACTAGACTTGGCTTGGTTAATTGTATGACAATTGATAAAAGTATTCTATCAAAATAAACTATTTATTCTTATTACTAATTATTGTGATACCAAAAATTTATTTATAACAAAATATTTAAAAGTTATTAACTAGTTTAACAGACTAATTTTTAGAGAACATTCAACGCTTCGTTTCCATTTTTCGGTTCAATCAAAGAAACAGACAGAAGCCGTCGCAAAATGAAAATTAAAAACCAGAGAATATTATTAACACAACGTGATCCTCAACAAATCGAAAATAAACAAAAATCGAGAAAAAGAAAAAAAGAATCACACTCGAAAAATAGAATACTCGAGGAAGCGTACCAAGCGAATAAGAAAATATATATAAATATATCTAAAAAGAAAAAAAAAAAGAATATCCTTACAGGAGAATATCCAATGAAACAGTTGAAAACGCGGGGTGCAGGGAGGGGTGGCCTGGG